AATTTTTTTGGCATACGTTTCAAGCCATATGGAGCATTTGACAAAAAATCACTCAAACGCACATGCGCGCGCGTTTTTTGCGCGTTCTGGCATTTTGCAACATATAATCGCCAAATTTTCTCTGTCATCATGTTGAGCACATTTTTCCAGGCATTTTGATACCATATTCATCTCTTTATCACTAATAATAACGGAATGAACGTCTGTTCAAGATAATATCCGTGCGCGCGAGCTCATGTATTACATAGTATATATGGGCAAAAACATGCCTATAAAAAAGTCCATTGGGATGAATAAGGACTGCCAAGTTTTTTTCATATTTTGATAGAGTATGAGTCGGAGATATGATTTCATAGCTCACTTGGCCATTAAATACATCTTGACGTCATCATAATGGCCTTGGAAGTCAAAATACAAAATTGCATATTATGACGTCATTATATTTATGGAAAATTTAGTGTATTTCTCATAATATTGACTGATTTTCTTTCAAATAGCGGTATCTTGTAGTTGAGGCAATTGCCTTCAAGATAAAGACACACTACTTTTTATTTCATTGACGTCATCATAGTACAAAATTCAATTAAAGGCCACATTTCAGAATTTTCTTAATTGGAGTGTTATGCCTAAGGAAGGTGAATTTCGTTCAAATCATAAATCTTCATGACATTGATCTTTGAGCACTATCTAGCTCATTTGTATTCTATGTTCTTCCAAATTTTGATACGGTGTAGCTAATAAATTATCTACAATATTGACGTACATCATTTATCATTTCGATGACATCATAATAGTGAAAATTTCAATTAAAGGCGACATGTCAGAATTTTCTTAGTTTGCGTGTTAGGCGACTTTTTCTGAAATCCTGATTCTACAAATCTCTATCGAATACCTGAAGGGGGCGCTATACCACTCTTAATCATGGTCTTTATCGTATTTATGATCATTATCATTAGATCATCATCGGCACACTTTCATGATAACAAAATAGCACGTATCACCTAATTCGTCAAAGTGACGAATTAAAGTCTAGTTTATTTATTATTATTCTTCCTCGAATTTGTTCGCAGGATATCTCAAGACTGAATAAAGCCATTATCATGAAACTTGCCATGATGATAGATCTTAGTCTAACTTAGAACTGCGTGACTTTTCAAAGACTCAAAATTATCGTGACGTCATCCAGGCGCCATTTTGTGAAAATAAACTTATGATCATATCTTCAAAACGGAAAGGAATTTTTCATTCATATTTATCAGGAAGAAGATCAATATCCATCCGGTCAATTTCAGATCAATAAACGTGCGCAAACGCGCGCGTGCGCGTTCGTACGCGCGTTTACGCGCGCGAAAAAAATTAAAATGCTCCAAATCATCCCAAATTTTTTTGCATACGTTTCAGGCCATATGGAGCATTTGACAAAAAATCACGCAAACGCGCATGCGCGCGCGTTTTTTGCGCGTACTAGCATTTTGCAACATAGAATCGCCGAATGTTCTCTATCATCATATTTGGTACATCTTTCCAAGCATTTTGATAACTTGTTCACCTTTTAATAACGCAATGAGCGTCCGTCAAAGTTGACAGCGCGCGCGGACCTGCGTTATCTTTATCCACAATACATGAGCAAAAACATGTCTATACAAAATTCTTTGTAACTCTTCAGAATAGATAGAAACTCCCAATATTTTTTCATATTTAGATAGGTTATAAGTTGGAGATATGATTTCATGTCTCATTTGACCCTCAATTAACTCATAACGTCATCATAATGGCCTCCAAACTCAAAATTTCAATTTGCATATTATGACGTCAGCATAATTTTGGAAAATTGATTGTATCTCTGTAAATATTGATTGATTTTCTTTTAAATTTTGATATGTTCTACCTGAGACAATTTTCTACAAATAAATAATCCACAATTTTCCATTTTGACAAAGGCATCATGGCGTATTTTTGCAATTAAAGAAGGCATGTCAATTTTTCACATTTTACGTGTATTCTCTATGGGACATGACTTTTTCTCAAAACTGGATTCTACACTCCTGTCTTTCGCGAGCAAAATCTCTGTTGTTTTAGCTTCGTTTTCGCTGAACTTCGGATATGTTGTAGCTGAGACAATGAGCTATCACAAGTGCGCCCTTTATTTTTCGATTAGATGCCGGGATCATGCTCATATTTCACTTGCAAAGTAGGATTTCAGAATTCCATTTCCCGTTTACGTGTAATCGCTATGGGAAATGTTTTGGTATATCGGTAACGCACTTGACTTCCAATCTCGAGATCCCTGGTTCGAGTCCGGGTGTCTCCAACAATTTTTTTCTTCACTTTTTTTTCCTTTTGACCTTCACTGTACCATCTCCTTTGATTATTAAAACACGTAGAATCGCAAATAATGTCACAAACAACCCTTTTTACTTTATTATTACCCTATTTTCACTTAATCCATTACTTTTTGCGTGTAATCTCTATGGGAGATGACTTTTTCTCAAATCTGGAGTCTACATTCCTGTCTTTTGCGAGCAATATCGCCGTTATTTCTGCTTGGATTTTGTTGACTTTTGAGTAAGTTGTAGCTGAGACTATATGCTATCTAAATCAACCCTCATTTTTTCAATAAGATGTCATGATCGCGCTCATGATCATGATCATTATCATCATGATCATCATTATCATAATGATGATAATCATTTATCAATTACATTTTCATTTCTTTGAATAAGATAAAATCGTCAAAAGGTGTTCTTCATGATGTAAATTAGAGTCAAATGTGTAACTGGTTACTGCACAGGGTCAAAGGTCATATATTGTTTCAATCTATCTTCCCTAGATCCATGATGATCAAGGAGACACAATTTAATCTTGACATATGAATAGATCATAATGGGAGAAGCATATAAATGGGAGAAGCATTTTACAAAATAATATATCGTGTAATGCATTATTCGTTATGTAAACCATTATCATACGTATCACCTAATTCGTCTAAGTGACGAATTAAAGTCTAGTTTTTCTATTGTCTTCCTATGGGGCCCGTTGGTATTGTGAAGGGACAAACATTATTTAACCCCCCCCCCCCCCCCTCTTGATGGAGGCAAACATCTACCCTCACTGTTTGGCACCTTTTTAAGACACACAGTTTTAGGGCATTATACCCTACATGGACTCAAATACAAAACGTTCTCGAATCTCACCAGGATTTATCCTTTTTATATCTTGCAAAATGATATCTGAGCATTGTATCATTTCCGAGGGCATAATAACTCCATTATTTATTTGTTTGTGCACCCAACCCCCCCCCCCCCATCCTCATATACATGCATAAGATGTGTTTATCTATTAATGTTTAGAAATTGTGTGCATTATAATCACGATTTGTAGATTAAAATCTCAGACCCTTCCCAAAACCGATCTCTGATATTTAAAAAAAAAATCAAAAGGGAAAATTGTGTGCATTATAATTTGCCGGGGAATTTTAACATTTCAAAATTCTCCTAGTCTTTCACATGATATAAATGACAGACGTACAAAACGTCTTTTCCTTAAATTTTGTTCAAAATAAGCCCTTTTTATCTCTTGTAATAAGTTCATTTGAATGCGCGCAAAAAAAAATTAAAGAAAAAAAGAATGGCAAATGCACGGACAACTCTCCTGTTTGTCGTGTACAGAGACATCATAAACTTTGTTAATTTCGCTATTCTGCTTCTCTTTTTTTCTGCTTTCTATAAGAGTAGTTGGCTATTGATGTTACATTACAAACCTTCTGGACACTTGGCGCGTGAGAGTACATTCATATCCCTTGTAAATTTGGTTAAATTAGGGCCTTTGTTGAATACTACTGGATGTAAGCTTAGTACGTCACATTCTCAAGAAACATAAATTGAGAAAAACAAATTAATTTGTACATACTTCTTCGATTATAAATCTTGGTATAAGAGAATGAATAATTTAGTTGTTAATTACTGTACGCAAATTCATATGAAGTGAATTGTATCGCTTTCTTTAATAGGTAATGGTACTATGTCCCATTTGCAGGCCAAAAAAATGATTAAGGTTAAATTCCAATGACATTTGAAAGATAATACTAATTCAGAACTTCCCTCAAAACAGAAGGGCTCGAAAATGTCTTTTTGTGTGAAAATAACGACCGTTAGTTGTCGAGAAAAAAATAGCGACTGCAGTCGTTTAATCAAATAGTCTGATTATCAGACCCTTGTACCGAATGGACGTACGTATTGTGCTATGCAAAGATTTAATCAGCTTAACTTTGGCCATTACAAGAAGTGGGTAATTGATGTGGACAAAATAATGCTCATGTATCCTTTACAGCCCATGTTATGTATGTTATTACTAAAGAACAAAAGGAGTCAGTCAGTCACTCAATAGTGTCGGACAGTGAAGTCTAGAAAGTAAACAGGTTTCCTTGCATAATCTGAATATTAGGACACTGCTAACGTTTAAATTTCACAAATAGGACATTCGTGAAAAAAATCATAATTCCTGCAAAGTTCTACATAATTTGATGTTGGCTGCAAAAGGGATACACTATACCTTCAACAAATTCATATATTACTTTATAGTTTCGACAAAGTTGTTGATGAAATTGATGAAAATAAATTGTATGATTATTTGGTGATTGGAATTATAATGGTTTATGAGGGTTTAGCGTGTGAAAAACTGTTTACGTTTTTAAGTCAGTTCGATACGAGTATAAATTTTATTAGTTTATCAATGATCAAAAGTGCATTTATTTCCTCCTATTATTTTATTGGGAAATAATACCATAGGTTGGCCACTTATGACGGTGTATATTTCTATTACAAGTGGGTCTTTGATCTTTATATACCGTCTAAATATTACAGAATATAGATACAATAGTACATGGGTGTTCACGTTAAATCATGATGGTTAAAAAAGAATCAACTATTTGGTAAATGGGTGCTTTTTTACCATTTGTAAACAAATTGAATTGTAATTTGATAATGAGGAAGATATATTACGTTCGCATGACGGCTTTTTTGGTTGGAATTCGAATGTCAATTTAGCGACTTCGGAACAGGTCAATTCAGCTTTGCCGTCCATCCGGTAGTTTGCATTACAACTGTACGTCACTTTGTCGCCTATAAAGAAGCTGGTTCCTTGCTTGTTGCCATTGTCGATTTCTCCTGGATCCTCGCAAGCTAGAAGAAATAATGATAATTGACTTTAAAATCACTTCACATTGTAAAACCACGATATTCTACAAGTAGGGGAATAAAATCGTAAGAGAAGTAGTCACGAAAAAAGCTTCCAGATTCTTACGGCAGCGTTGTAAGACTCTCTTCAGGTCAAAGTTCAACCAAAGATGCCAAGTGATATATCTGCCAGAATGCTTTTAAACATAGTATGAATAATTAGAAAAAAGAACAAAAGAGGGAAAAACAAACAAAGTAGTGACATAACCATGAAAGTGAAAAGTTGCAATTCTACCAGATACATTTCTTAAAATAGGCAGATAGCAGGTTTGTATAATTTTTTACGACAGGTCTGGTTTGTATCTGTCTACCTTCCTATGATGGGCGGCGTCTACGTTTGTTTCAATACATCTTACAACACTATGACCAGATCATAGCGTTGGTTTGTTATTAGGATGTTAGGGGGAGGGATAGTACCCCCTGGTTGGAGGCATTAATCCCCATTACTGTCAGTTATAACTTAAGGACGTAGGTCCCCTAGTTGATTAGCATAGTAGCACACACATGCTTTAGCAGTCACGCAAAACAAACACTCACCAATTGTCATTCAATAAAATCTGACAATGTAAACTATTATCTAGATCTATTCGGAATAAATCATTCAATAAATTGGGGTAAAAATAATTATTCCACCATTATGACCAACAGTGTATTTATTGCACTTTACAAATAAATATCAATCTACTATGTCAGAGGTACTTTTACCATGTGAGAGCTAGAATGCCTTCAATGGAAACATTTGTCGTGAAATGTAGAAGTGACAGGTATAAATGGTACGTCTGACAAAAACATACATAACTTTGTAGTGAAACTTAGGAGGATTTTAGGGGACATCATTACAATAGCTGCTTGAGGATGGTTTATATATATATATACAGTGCGTCCCAGAAAAAACGAAACCGAGAAGTATCGATGTTCTATCATAACTTAATCACAACTATAATTAATAAATGATACATATCTGGAAAGCTTAGAGTCTCCTCTTTCAGTTGATGCTACTCACGTGATGCATATTTCACGCATGAGTGATTAAAAGCAATTTGAAGGAAAGAAACCAAAAAGACATTTGGCGGGCGGTATCTCAATTTCGAAGAAAAGTTCACATTTCTAGAAAGTTGAGTTTTTGCCCTTTCGTATGACACCTCAATCAGGAAAAATGAGCGAGGAATGACAAAGTTCTGTTTGTTTAAAGTAGTGCTTGCATTTCCATAATTTGATTAAACGAATTCGTTTTCACTGGCTGCCTGCCATATCAATAAACGAAATTTACAAAAGACTTTACTCCATTTCGTTGACAATCAGCCGTAGACGAGAGTCTTCATGCATGGCTGATTGTCAACGAAACGGAGTTAAGTCTTTTGTCAAATCTGCTTTTTGCTACGGCAGGCACCTAGTGAAAACGAATTCGTTTGTTAAAATTATGAAAATGTAAGGGCTACTTTAAACAAACAGAACTTTGTTATTCCTGGCTCATTTTTCTTGATTGAGGTATCATATGAAAGAGTAGAAAATGAACTTACTAGAAATATGAATTTTTCTTTGAAATTCAGATACCGCCCGCCAAATTACTTTTTGGTTTCCTTCCTTCAAATTGCTTTTAATCACTCATGCGTGGAATATGCATTACGTGAGTAGCATCAGCTGAAAGAGGAGACTCGAAGCTTTCGATATATGTATCAATCATTAATTATGGATGTGATTAATTTATGATAAAACATCGATACTTCTCGGTTTCGTTCTTTCTGGGACGCACTGTATATAAACACACTATTGATGATCCTCCGTAAAGGGAAATTTGTTTTCCAATTGGGGCTTCGTCAAAATAATAATGACTTGATTTGACTTTCAAAATTGTTACGCGTCAAAATATGAGCACCCTATCCCCATAAAATGATCAAAGAGAGAAAGGACAGGAATGATTACGTCTCAAAGAAATAACAAGGCAGGAAGTAAAAAACGACTCGTAGGAAAGAAGTATGGTGTAATGATACGTCATTAAGAAACCAAAGGAAGACGGAGAACGGAAGCTCAAGGGAGAGGACATAAATAAACAAGTCAGTAAAGTGAGAAGAAAACATAAAGAGAGAGCGTGGAGATAATACGACAGAGAGAGAGAGGGAGAAAGCCAAGATATTAGGGGGAAAATAAAGAACGGGGAAATGAATAGAAAGTGATACGGAGTCCATTACTACAATGATATATATATATATATATATATCCAATATATATATATACTTCCTTTTCCGCTCATAAATTTGAGTCCTAGTAAGCTTTATCTATAATATATATATATATATTAAAAAGGGATAAAAAGGAAGGGGTGGAAACGGCCCCTAAACCCGTCTGTGGTATTATCATAGTAAAACTATAGGAATCTATGCGACATATCTGAGTTAAATTCAAAGATGATTTAATTCGAATGTATATTTTTTATAGTCCACCCACGGCATCCAATCTTCACCATCATTTCATTATACATTACATCATCGCCAGTTAACTTGGTTAAAGCCTTTATCATGGATTAGCAAACCTTCATAAAATTATCTTGAAAATGTATTTGTAGTAGCAAGAAGAATAATTGAAAGTATGTGCGAAATCTCAGACCCCAAAAATAGGCTTATGTGGTTTTCTCTCTATGAGTGAAAATTGAAGCCTCAATTTCGTTAACAATAGATGGAGTGAATCAAACACCGTCAGTTGCAAAATTCTAATTTGAAAAGAAAAATGACTGTTATTTTTCTAATAATGAATATTTTTCACCATACTCTTAGGAAAGTTTTCAATTATGATTTTACAACATTATGGACTTTTTACAGTGAAAATCCCTTCAACGCCCTTCAAATCAACATTGTATTGTAGATTACATTTCAGTTGTTGCAAAATTTATTTAACTGTTTTTAAAACGTTACACTGGTTAAATAAGAATACATTGAAATAACAATTTATAGGAAATTGATAGAAGCTATCATTAATAATGATGTGGATACTTGCCTGGAACAATCAAGTTGGCTTTGGCCACGCACACGAGGCCTAGTAAAAGGAACCAACGCATACTGAAATCGGCAAATCTGACTCAGTCTAAAACCAGATGAGAGGAACAGAAAAACAAGTTGTCTTCGACTGGAGTTAACTAGCCTGAATGAAGAAACAGGTTAGTGATCGTGACATATCAATCCTCCGTTGTAGTGTGATGCTGTCTTTTCATTGGTTCGCTAAGCCGCACTGCCACTCATCAGCGCATGCGCAGATGGACTGGGACGCTGGCGTATTAACACTAACATCACCAGCTGTCAGGAAGTAACGGGGCATCAGATGGTCATACAATCGAGTGTCAATGCACAACAATTCTTTTATGGTAAGATCCGGAGTTCTCGAGTCTCGAGGTCACATCCCTGGGGTAAAGTCACTGACGTCACCTTCACCATGTATTCGTGAAAATTAGGAAAATGTAATCAACTTTCAAAACTCCGGTCTATCCAAAACTTCTCAAGTGAAATTGATCTGAAATTATTTTGCATATAATTATGACCAGTGGCCTGGTGGTGTCTAGACAGTGATGGGGCCCAGATATCAAGGAGATGGGGACAAGTCTTATTTAATTGGTGTATGAAAATAATGTTAACAAGGTAGATGATTATAGGAAGGGTGTAGAAGGAGTCCAAACATTTAACGATATTTGACAGATTAGTGTAGAGACAATAGATATTCCTGTTGGGGAACGGCTAATACCTTTAAGGATACATAATTACATGAATTAAATGCTAGCTTCCGTAGGGCGAGCGAGCTTTGGAAAACAACATATTTGGTCTCATTCACTTTAAATTAGGGGCACATGTGAAAAGGGGCACTTATTAGAAGAGGAAGGGGGCACTAATAAAGTGGAGAAATAGTAAATTATTACTTAGTGAAATGGGCAGTAATTAAGAGGGAAAGGGCCGTCCTCCGTGGTGAAGAGGGAAACTTTGGCCGGGGTACTTCGAAAAATGGGTGACTGTTACCCCTCCCCCCCCCCCTGTCCTCAAGCGACGCCTGTGGAATGGGGCGTGTGCCTCTATACCCTCGTGTAGCTTATGACACTGCCTATGACTGTCTTTTCTTGAGGACCATTTGCTTCCGTACTAGGGCTCACATGGTTCGCGGTTCGAGTCCCACTGCGGCACTAATGTACTTTGGCGAGACATTAATCTGTATTGCCACTCTCCACCCAGGTGAAGTAATGGGTATCCGGTAGGAAGAAATTGCTTGAATACTTTAGCGCCTTATTATGGCAGCTCAGCTACAGCCGGGGTAATAGCGCAGTAGAGTTCATAATAGTTGCTGCGCTATACAAATAGACCTATTATGTTACTAAACTGGGATTCATAGAAGCTGTTTACACCTTTCCCGTACTCCCCTCATGTCATGTAACTTCCATGATTGTACATGAACTAATCTAGGCCTTGTAACAAGCGATATTCAATGGTTTTTCTACCAATGCTTCTTTCATCTCTATCTCTAATATCATCATTAATTACTTTTGCCACTCTCTTCCCAGGTGTATTCGATTGGAATTATTCATTGAATGCTGGGCTTTACTTGTAGGCACCTCGCGCTTCCCTTGTGATGGATAATTCAATTGAATAAGCAATATAAACGTAGTTACAAGTATCTATCATTGTTATCACCATCATTAGTATTATTAATACTATTATTATTATTATTTTTATTATTATTATCATATTATCATTTTCATTATTATCATAACTACTACTATTATCATCATTTTTATTATTTTGTATCATTATTATTACTAATATTATTATCATCATCTCTCCCTGTCTCTCTCTCTTCTTCTCTTTCTCTCTTTTTTTATATTACACTCACTCCTCTTCATCACTACAAACATTTTCTCATTATCACCCATTACATTAAAGGCATCGTTTAACAATGTTAAATCTATGATGTACGGCCCTACGTGTTATCAGTGTCTGCGATATGGTGTAAAAATCTTTGAGTTACCGGTTTTACCATACTCGTTTTCCCCAATTGATTGTAGTGTTATGAAAACCGTTTGGCAAACAGTTTTCAAAATGTGTAATTCCAATCATAAATATCTTGATAATCAGACAGGCGATCGGCTTATAAAAGTTATAGGGTTCCTGACTGACCTAAAGGTTTATAATTATCATTGCAGCATGAGCTTAATCCAGGATTTTGCTTCAGAATCTGAGACAAAGTTACCGGATCCCTTTAAAATGAATATAGCATGTAATAATCGTGTAGTTCATGTGCGAAGATAGCAACGTCTATGTAACAAAGTAATCAAAGCAAGTCAAATTAAATCGAGTCAAAATAGACTAATATGGATGGTTGCTACCAACAGACGAAATGTGATTATGAATGGAGCAATGCAGGTGTGTTGCACTTTTAGGTTTAATCATGTAAACTGAATCTTGGAATATATATTTATATGTGACAAGTTTAATTGCAATATAGGTTTTTACAAATTTGACTTCATTGGTTTTATTTGATTGTTTATTCCCATATTCAATATATATGGGATATATATCATTCACTGTCTTCTGCACCAAAGTTGTCGAACAGTCTTCTTCGGTATCATCGCTCTTGTGACCTTGCTATCCAATTTGAAAGCCTAGCTAAAGACATACCTATACCTACATAAATACGCCATGTTTACACCTAATATTCACTACTCGTCTTTTTAAGGTGAATCATGACCAGATATTCAGTAGTTTTTTCAGTTTCATTGGCGCGTTTTATTAGGCAACCAGATGTTGGCGCTCTACAAATTCCTCGATTGGATTTGGTATTGACAGATAGAAGGGCAGGCATGCAAAACATTGCAAATTAAAAGATTCATCAAGACATTAGAACATGATTTTATCAATAGATTGTTATCATTTTATTGTATGTCTGTAAAGTACCACTGTAAAGAGTTCTGTTTTCATCACAACATAGTAGAGTATATTTGTATAGTAGCTACGCTATCTAAATTGAACTAATTATCAATTATTATCATTATTAGCAGTTTTATTTACAGACTAACGTAATACTCCCAACATGTGTTTTTTAAACTTACTTTTCTGCTCCGCCGAAATAATGGTGTTATTACCTGCCAATTCTTGGAACCGTCAACCTTGTCAAGCCTCAAGAGGCTTTTATAATGGTCCCTTTTAGTCTTCATACTTTGTACGAATTACCCTTGAAATGCCTGGTATATATTTTAATATTTAGATATGTTTTTAGTTTTTTTTTAACTAACAAATTAATAAGGCTAAAACGGTGATTGTTGTCTAGGCTAGCTTTATGAAGAGCGGTAAGATTTTCTGTAGGTTTCAATCATGATTCAGTGATAATACACAACTCAAGTCTTTCAGTTGTAAGCAGCAATCTTATTTAACAAACATTACAAGACAAAACTACCTTTATTAACTATTTATTTGTCCCTTTGTCAACTAAATTATTCATACCCTTACGGAGCTTCCTAGTATCAAAGTTTCATCAGGACGTTGTCCACATTGCTCCCCCGAATAGAGGAGGAAAGTGGGAAAATAGTGCTTTTAACATTCGAAAGAAATTTGAAATTATAAAAGACAGTTGTTCAGAATAGCGTTTTGCCTTGTTCAAAACCATGAAAGAATCCTTATTACTTGGTTGCAGCTAATGCTTCCTTCGTGAGTCTTTTTCCTTGGGTAAAATGCGTTAAAAATAGCGTTTTTGAGAGTTGAAAATGCTACCGTGTTTTACACATCGCTGATATAGCGATGCATCAACATTTGACTATCAAGCTCTATGACACAAGTCCATAAATTCATTTTTACGCAGTACCATAATATCTGAATTCAGAGTTTTTCTAATTCTTATTTTTTAACTAATACATTTGGATGGGGAGGGGTGGTGTGTATGGTTACGCCGCCCTTCACCTTACCTGCAAAAACACAAGATGTTTTTCAGATCAAGTAGAGCAATTACGTCAACAGAACACAACAAATACTAGTAATCGATATGAAGCAAAAATATACGGGGAAACAAATTAGAGACAAAAGAACATCTGTGGGGCAAATAGTTTATCTCCTTGCTCTTTAACCACGCTGACCTTTCAACTATTCACAAAACAAACCTCCAGTTTTTCACACTTAGCTCCCCATTCGCAATATTGATCGGTTTAGATTTTTGGGTCTGGTCTTGCTGCTTCCAAACTTTCAGATATAGGGAGTGATGTCATATTTTCATCGGTTGTCAGAATTGACGAAAATTTTAGGTGTTCTCAATGCCCATGAAAAATATTATATGTTTTATGAGGAAAGTATTTCCCTTAATCTTCCCCTATGGCAGATGCTAATAATCTGAAATATACTCATCATGTATATAGTAACCCCAACCATATTGGATGATCTGCAGTAAGTTCGGTCAAAATGTTCCTTCCAGAACCTCATTTATTGATGTTATTAATTATACTCAAAGCAATATTATCTTACACCATTCGGTCCCTTTCGAACGGATTTACTCACATTTTGCAAAGCTACAAATTCCTTTTAAATACAGTTAGATTGTTTTGCTTTATACCTACATACATACAATATCCTTGAGGAAAATATAATTTACCCTCAATTTTCCTTTATATTTGATGCTAATGTGCAAAATATGGAAATTATGCAAATTTTATATGAAATGCCATTGTGACAGTGTGCTTATCATGTTAAATGACCCCGGGAAAGTTGGTTTCAATACCTGAATTATTTAAATCGAGCATCGAGATGCAGTTTCATGGCATTATCGTGATGTTATCTATTCCTTTTTTGTGTGACAACAGCTATTTGATATAATATATTTTCTCACAAATATCCCATAGTGGGATTTCTTGAGACTTTTAATACGGTGTTTAGGGGGACCTTACTGAAATGCAATGCAGTGCATTCATTGGCAATTAGTGGTGGGCCAAGCACTATATTGACTGGACTATATACCACTTATGTAGAAAGCTATGCACAGCTAAAGCTCTCATGCTGGACTATACACTGCCTTACTTGAAGATTTTAATTTTATTTATTTAATCTTTTATTTATTCATTTAATATGGTTTCTTGAAAAAACAGGTTAGTCGAATTACGGAGTGCCTGCTGCACAAGGGAGCCCTGCA